TTCGAAAAAAATGAGAACCTTATGAATGCAAACAGATTTTACTGGTGGCAGTGGTTTCAAAAGATCTACAAAATCCACACACTCGCTTTTAAGAAAATAAAAATGAGAGTTTTTATTCTGTATTGCTACACGGCTCTGTATGCCCACCTACCAGTACAAAAGCCATCACAAAGACTCCAACAATAAGTGTGTCAATTATCTTTATAATGCTTGGATCTTGTAGACCATCTCTGAACAATTTCCGGAGACAAGGAAAGGCACCGCAGCCACGCCCCAGTGCGCTCCGTACTTTGAAAAGCTTCTCCTTTTCAGGCCGCGAGACTCGGCAAAGCTCTGTCACTCCAGCCAAGGTGCAGTGTCTCTCTCTTGCAAATAAGATCCTTTTTTTTCTCTCTCTTTTTTTTTTTTTTTTTTTTTTGTCTTGACAGTTTAACTGTGTGTGTATTTGACCATGTATATATAATATATATATATATAATATATATATATATATATATATATATATATATATATATATATATATTATAAGTGTGTGTGTTTGTATTTATGTATGTATGCGTGTGTGTGCATATGGATATACATATATATAAAAATAAATATATAATATATATACATATATATAAGAATAAATATATATACATATATATATAAATATATAATATATATAAGAATAAATATATATATATATAAGAATAAATATATATACATATATACATTTATTACCTCTGAAATATACGCTTAAATAGCACAATATACTCAGTGAGAAATATATTCCTTCCACGGACCAACAGTCACACAGCTTCTATCTCATCCTGGCTCTCACAGGACCCAGGTGTTCATTCGTTTTTTATTTGCCACTAGTATCATTTAGGTACTCTGACGCTGCCTGCATGTGCACCGGATTCATCTTCAGGAGAGGATTAACTTTCCCTTTCGAACACTTCATCATCTTCACTTCCCTTCTCTGTATGATAAATAATAATGAACACAAAATCTACCTTTATAAAGAATAACGTTCTCTTTCGTACCCTTAGTATCTTCTCTTCTCTGCATGACAATATATTTTTATTAAGCAATATACAGTCGAGCGGTTTGTGTTAGATTGTTTAATGCCTTTATTATATTCTTATGTGTGTGTGTGTGTGTGTGTGTGTGTGTGTGTGTGTGTGTGTGTGTGTGTGTGTGTGTGTGTGTGTGTGTGTGTGTGTGTGTGTGTGTGTGTGTGTGTGTGTGTGTGTGTGTGTGTGTGTGTGTGTGTGTGTGTGTGCAGGGGACGAGAACCTAAAGAACTCTATCACACACGCATACAGCAAGGCCTAATAAAATGAAAGAAACTATATAAAAGGCAGGATATTGTAAAAAAAAAAAAAAAAGTAGACAGTTGCTTAAATACTCACGCAATCTTTTGGCCGAGGTGGCGTGGTAAGGGACACACAGAAGATGACCAGGATCGTGAGGAAGAACAGCAGGCAGCAGAAATGGAGGTAGTGAAGGCGCGTCAGCAGGGCGGTGATGATCGCTGGTTCCACGTAGTCAGCATCTGGAGGAGGAGTTTTAGAGGAAGGCGTGGGGGCGTCAGGAAGATTGGGTGCGGTATGTGTTAGATTGTTTAATGCCTTTATTATATTCTTAAGTGTGTGTGTGTGTGTAGATATTGATATAATTACAGATACAGATATTCATATATATTCATGTCCGTCTGCGTGTGTGTTTGTGTGTATTGTGTGTGTGTATGAGTTGCGTATGCTCATGAACTACATACGACAAGACAAACACAACTGAAGAGCATATCGGTAATTATAAAATCAAACAAATGCTCCTGAGATGTACCTACTACATACCTAAGCCACAGGGCGGCGGGGTGTACGTGAACTCGAGAGCGAAACGAAAAACTCCAACAGCCAGGCCGAACATGAGACCCCAGAAGGCGCCCTGGGGAAGGAGGAGGGAGGAAGGTAAATGAGGTGGATGGAAATAGGAGAAAGAAAAAAGAGAGTAAGGACAGTTGCGAAAGGCAGGGCTGGATTTCTCGGGAAATTCGTCTGTTAAACGGAAACAAAAGACGACCGACGGATGACTACGTGACCAGTTTTTTTTTTCTTTTTTTGTAGGCTATTTTTTTTTTTTTTTTTTTTTTTTTTACATATGGTTTGATGCCAATGAAAAGTGTTTAAAGCAAAATTAAATAAATAAATATTTTCCCTTGTTCAAATAAATAAAAAAAAATCCTGAAACCATCTTGGTATGAACTGATAAGATGTAGCAACCGAACGTCATCTCGGCGGAAATTTCATCCGATGTCACTTCAGCTGGGTCTTCCAGCTGGGCATCACCAAAGGCAGAGACACAGTCCCATAGAGTTACTTTAAACCTTCAGCCCTGCAATACACTCACTATGAATAGTCGTATACTTTTAGATATGTAAAGTATACAGGTTCAATGTCGCATTTTCTTAAGTTATACATTTAATATATTTTCTTCTTAAAGTGCGGGTGTATTT